CCATGCGGAGGATCCTCCCCAGGAGTGGGCGGCGTGGGGAGGGCCACTGGCCCCTCCAGTTTCTCGGGGATGGGAGACTCGGGGTGGGAGCGGGGTTAGGGTCCCTTCTGGATCCCCTGGGACTGGGGGCGGGGTGGAAGGCAGGGAAACAGCTGGCGATCGGTCCTGGCCTCTTCTAGCAGTGGGGGAGGGGGAGGGGGCTTGGCAAACAATCCCTCTCCCCTCTGAACCTCCCTTTCATTCACTCATTCGTTCAGCAGTATTCATTTATTGAGTGCCTTACATGTTTGAGGCACCGGAGAAATTGTTGAAATAAGACATACGTACACCCGCCTTCAAGAAGATGACAGCTGGTGGGGTGGGGGCGCACAGCCGGGCACAGCTGGGGCTGGGGGCTCTGCAGGACGCTGCCTGCAGGGAGCTCCTTCAGATGGGCAGAAAGGCACAGTTGCGCCCAGGCCTGAGGGACAAGGACACGCTGGGAGTGTGTGCCTGTGTGTTTGCCCCCGTCAGAAGAGGTCTGAGGAACAGGGTGTCCTGGTGTACCTGTCACTCTGCACCTTGCTTGTTTGGACAAAGGCAGAGCCGTGTGGGTGCATGTAGTTCTAGTGCATCCATCTTGCCTGTGGGGTTTTTTTTTTCCCCCTCCTATCACTCTGAGCTGCTGCTAGGCAGAAAGCAGTTCCAGAAGGGTTTCTGAACCCACCACTGGACAGGTGACTTCCCAGTTGGTTGCAGAGCATGGCTTGGTGAGATGGGGTAGGAGCAAGACAGCTCAGGCTGAAGGCTGGCTGCAGACAGCTGGTGTGAAGAGGATCTTGCAAAAAGAATGCAGGGGGGAAATTTATGTAGCCTTGCAGATAAGCCCCCCCACACACACACACTTACCCACCGAGTAGTCAGGGAAGGACTTGAGTTGGACATAAGAAGGGGCCTGAGTCCATCTCCACTCAAACTCAGTGTAAACTTAGGGTGGTCCTTTCTCCTTTCCATCTGCAGTTATGTGTGTGTGAGAAAAAGACAAGATCAGTCAGCTCCATCTTGTTCTTCTCTGTGTTTTCCTGGAATCTGTATTTGTCTGTTTGGCGTCTATTAATCACAGGGCCAAACTAACAACCAGAGTTGTTTACATCTGCCCCGTGGCCCAGAGCGAGATGGAACTGCTCCCAAACATCAACGTGTCATTTCCCCTCCCTTAAGTCCACGCAGGGCCAAGTCCCCAGCGACTAGAGGCAGCCTCTCCACTGGGAATGGGAGACCAGCCAGCCCTGAACTTTTTGCCTGCCCAAACCTGGTGCCTTCCCCACGTGGCCCCTGTGTGGCATGACATGCCCCCTTCTTTGGGGAACTGGAAGTCAGAAGTTCCTTCCATGGCATTAGCCTCTGGGTGCTGTCACTCGGTCACCTTCATAAAGTAAGACCCTGGCACAGAGTCAGATGGCTGTGCCATGTCCCTTAGAGGCTGCCAAGAGAGGAGAGGCCGGCCACATTGAGGGATTGGGTGTGGTGCCACAAGTCCCCTCCCTGGCCACATCTGGGGGAGAGGTGTGCTCCTCCTTACGTTTCAGAAAACCCTGCTCCTAAGTGCTCATCCAGCCCCAAGATGTGTTTTGGCCCCCACCTCGGTGCTAGGACAGACTCAAACCCGTTAACTTTGTGTTTTCAAAGGGGGTTCTTCTCGCATTTGCTCTGACAACTAAGGAGGCCCATGGACCAATTATTTGCTGATCTTTCTCAGCCCCCTCACCTCCTGTACTCTCTTGTCACCACTGGAGCTAGAAGCCTGTAAACCACACTGGCACCAGGGCCAGGTGGTCCTGCCAGCAAGAGGCCCTGGCAGGAGACTGAACACAGCGGCAGCACCAACAGACAGCTTCAGTGCACTTCAGAGAAATATGGGCTCCAGCTGTGTCACTGGGTCCAGTGGTGACCACAAGGGCAGTACCTGGAGCGGCTCAGGCAATGAGTGCTGGACTGTGGGCCCAGCCTGGAGTGGTGGCAGCTGCTTGGAAACCGGGTCTCTGTTTCCTTTCATTCTCTGGCCTCCCCCCACCTCTGGGCAACACCTTTGGAATAAATTTCATGCATTTGATCCCTCTTTGCTCGAAATATCTAGAGCGGTTTCTGTTTCTGTGGCTGGACAAGTATGATATACTATGTACCTTGGATAATTAAAAGGGTATGAAATAGACCCCATGCCACCTGGACATGAGTGCCATCTGGCCACATGGGAGTAGAGTGCCTGGTTTTAGGAGGGGGACAGCTGGGTCTCCTCTGTGCTGGTTAGAAGCAATGAGGGGACAGGACTGGGCTGGAGAAAGTCCTGGGGTTTCCAGTAATCCTGAGTGGGGGGTAGGTGGTGCAATAGCTTGGGGAAAGTTGAGACTATATTCAGGGTAGAACCTTCTTGGGTTCCATCTTTTCTTAACCTGAATGATGGCACCAGCCCCCTTACAGGTCTCCCTGCCGCCGGTCTTGAACCCGCTCCTGTTCATTTTCCACATAATGCACCAGTGAAGATTTCAAAAACCAATCCAACCCAGTGTCCACCCACAACCCTCCAGGGCTTTCTGGTGCTCAACATCTTGAACCTGACACTCATGGCCTTTCCTAACCTGACCCCACAGGCCTCCCCAGCTTCTGCATGCTTGCTCCTTGCCTCAAGGGCTGGGTTGCCATCTAGCTGCTCGGAATTTGCCTCAGTTGATGCTTACAAAATACCTACTGTGTCCCCAACACGGCTAGGCACTGGGGAGTCGGCAGTAGACAGTTCAGACCAAGTCTCTCCCAGAGGCCTAGTCTCTCTCTAGGCCCCTGCACGTGCTGTTTCCCTCACTTGGAACACTTGTGGGTTATGAGGTGTCCCCACAAAGCCCCTGTGTCCGTGCAGGACTGTCTGGGGGTGACGTGATTGGACTGTGAGAGCTGGAACCCAGTCACTCCAGTTTGTCTGCGTGGACTGAAGGCAGCTGCAGACAGCCGGGCGGGACTGGAGGAGGTGGGTTCATGTTCCTCCAGGTCCCTTCCCCCTTCCTTCCCTCTGTTTCCTGGGTGCCATGAATGGAGCAGGCTCCTCGGTAGCAGTCTCCCCGCCCTGATGGGCCAAAGCCTCACCTTGGGCCCAAAGCAGTGAACTCAGATGGCCAGGAACTAAACTTCTGGAACCGGGATCCAAAAGGAACTTCCCCCCTGTGAGTTGCTCTTGCCCGTGGGTCTGGTCACAGCCGTGCAAAGCTGACCAACACAACTGGGGACCAGCTTTCCGCCACCTCCCTCACTCTGCCTGCCAGGTGCCACCTTCGAAGCTCACCCGGGGTGGGCGTCCTGAGGAAGTCCTCCTGGACCCTGACCCCGCTCCCAGGTCCTTCAGATATTTCCTCTGGGCTCCTTCAACCCACTCAGCTTCCTCTGGCCCCAGATGTGGGTCTCTGAATCATCGCTTGGTCACACAGAGCTCCTGGAGGGTGGGACCGTGTCTGATGTGGCTCTGTCCCTAGACCTAGTTTCTGGCCCATGGATGTGTTGAATGAATGCGGTTCCCTGCCCCAGAACACCAGGAAAGACCTGGTTACACTGAGACCACCCGGGTCCTGAAGGGGCTTCTAGAATCATCTTCGGCGGAGATGAGAAGATCCGGGGTAGAACCTTCTTGGCCTCCGTGGTCTGGCCCCCTGACCTCTCCAGTCCCGGCTGTGCTTTCCCAGCCCAGATCCAGCCTTTGGAGGCAAACTGGATTTTCGCTTTGGGTTTGGCCAGATCCTGGCTGTGTGCACTTGAAAAATGACTCCCCCTCTCTGTGACTGCTTCTTCCTCATTAAAATGGGTTGGACGATCTCCGCCTCCCAGGGATTTGGTGCCGATACAAGGAGACGACCAGGTGAGACATGCAGCTCGAGGCTTGGGCCGGAGTCAGAACCCCGTAGGTGGATGTCTCTATCATTATCACTTAGGTGGGGGGCAATGGGGAGCCAGGGAGCTCTCGGCAGGGGTGGGGTCAGGGTCTGGGTTTTCCATAGAGTTCTGGAGGTGGCTGGGGGGGTGACCTGGACGCCCTGGAGTAGGCTGGTAATTTACATAACTGTCAAAATCAGCTTGCTAGTGCTTCTGGCCAATGGCTCTTGTAAAAATTTTAGAGTGAAATATAAAAAAAACTAATTTTCAGAGTAAATTATAAAACATGAAGCAGAAAGAAACCGGGGAAGCAGTTCCCGTCTCGTGAAACCAGTTTTCCCAGTGACGACCGTGGGCTGGTGAGAAGCTGCTTCTGCAGGGTCTTCAGAGCATCAGGGTCAAGCAACTGGAAGAGTCACAGACGTACGTGTGGTTTCAGAGATCTGAGCTTCTAGATTCAGCCTCTTTTCTTTGAGATCCAGCTTAAGTGATGCATGCACACAGCTAAACTGTCCGTGGTTCCTAAAGACAGGATGGAAAGGCCTCCATCCCTCCACCAGGGCCCCGGCCCCTTCATGTCAATAATAATTTGTTTTTTTCTCTCCTGAGAATTCCCAAGTCTGGATGTGCACAAATAACTCTTTTCTCTCCAATACGGTCAGTATGTTATCTTTGATGCTATATCCAGGAGGTCTCTGCCTATTGGTTCTTTTAACGGCTCTGGAACAATCTGGTGTGTGGATGGACCGTGATTGACAGCCCCTATGGATGTAGGATTTGGCTGTTTCTTTGGTGGGAGGATGATGGTTAAAGGGGACAGAAATTCTTGAGACCAACAAATTCCCTCCTTTTGGGGAGACATGAGGTCTGGATCCCCCTGGGTCGCTGCCTGGTTTTGTGTGTTTCTGTCCAACTTCTGTGTTTTGCTTCTAAGAGTTCACACTTGTGACCTTCAGGGACCTGTCCTTCAGCTCTGGGACTGTCCCGTCCATCCAACCTGTCTGAAATGCCCGGATGTTAGGGCCAGCCTGGGGGACTTAGTGACAGTCGGGTGCAGGAGTATGAAAGTCAGTTCCCTTACCTTGAGGTGAGATAAACTCCCAGATGTGAGTCATAGTCCAGAGCTCCTAGTGGCATCTGGCTGAGGCTGGGACTTTGCCTAAAGTCTTCCTGGGGTGGCAGCCTCTAAGACACCCTCCGACACTCCTCCTAGTATTCTGGGTAATGCCCGCCCTCTGGGTGTGACGTCACTTCCGGACTAGGTTATTAAAAAGCCCGTGGCTTCTGTCTGGGGGCCTCTCTCTTGGCTTGTCTCATTCTAGGGGAAGCAAACTACCAGGTGATGAGCTGTTTTAAGGAGCTGTTCAGGTGGCGTCTCAGGCTGGTGGCTAGTGAGGACCTGGGGCCACTCGCCTGAGTCACAAGAGTGAGTTTAGAAGTGGATCCTCCCCCAGTTAGGCTTTGCGATGCCTGCCACCCTGCCCAGTGTCTTCATGGCCTCCTTTTAAGAGATCTTGAGCCAGAACCCCATAGCTGGGCCGCCGCAGGATCTCAGGCCCAAAGAATCTGTGAGCTAATAAGTACTCTCGTTTCAGACGCTGAGCCTGGGATCATTTGTTACGCAACAGTGACTAACTGGTGCATGACGTGCTTGTCTCCCCCCCTCCCCCTTCCCTGTGTGGTCCCCCAGCCCCTCCCGACTTCTCTGGAAGCCATCTCTTAATAACCCACTTGCTCAGGAATTCTTGTCTGCTTCTGGGGAACCCAGCCCAAGGCACTCCTGGGGAGTTCAGGCCGATAACACTGGAGGCATTTACCTGGTACAGTCTCCGTGGACCGTGGGCCGCCGACTTTAAAACTCCAACATGGTCTGAACTGGGCAGGCCAAGATGCCTCGGATCCCACAGAGAGATCACGGCAAGGTCTGTGTTCACTCTGGGCCTCCGACCCTGACCCGATGACTCCCCGTCAGCTCCCCGGGACCCCTGCCCCGCTGCCTTTGCCCAGCCGGTCCTTGCCCCTGTTTGGTCCTTCCTGGAAATCCCAGGTCCTCAACACCCGCCCTCCAAAAGCAGCACCTAGCCTCTCCACCCAGAGCATCCCCCCTCCTCTGACCTCCCTCTGTCTTTTTGTGATGGCTTTTCCCCAACTTCTCATTATTTCTGCTCAAGTGCTACCCTTCTGCCTGCAGTAAGAGTTCTTTGCAGGCCGAGGCCCACCTCACACCTCATTACACTCATTTATTTTCCTATCTGCCTCCCCAGCTGAATTGCAAGGCCTCTGAGGCCCCCGCTGTATCTCGTTTATCATTATATCTACACCGTCCCCCGGCGCAGCACTTATCACACAGTGCATGCTAATAAATGTTTGTGGAATGGATGGATGAACTAATTACTTAATACACATATCCCTGGATCCCTCCACGGAAGGACGCAAGAGTTGGTATAAATTACTCAGACCTTTTGGATTTTGATTGACAGAAACACAACTCAAGCTGGCTTAAGCACAAGAGGGAATTTAGTGATCTAATCCCTAGGAAGCCCGAGTAGGCTTCAAGCATGGCTGGATCTAGGAGCTAAATAAGGCTGGCTGCTCACTCTCCCTCTCCCTCTTCTTCTCCGCGTTTTCTCTTCATCACCATGGGCAAGTGCAAGTGCATTCACAAGATCTAATCACTTCTCTCTGAGCCTCTGATTCTCTCATTTGTAAAAAGGAGAGGCAGTTTAGTCTGATGAACTCTAAGCCTCCTTTGTAGTTATTTAAGGTCTTCAAGGTGATTCAATTTCACTTTCCCATTTTCTAGTTCAGAAAAACTAAGGCCCAGAGAGGCCTGTGATTTGTTCAAGGTCATCCAACCAGTTAGGGGTGGGGCTGGCACATTGTTTGGCTCTCCATCCTTTATGGACAAGAGGACATTGTCATTTTGGACACAGAGAACTCCAGAGAGAAGGGCCTTGGTATTGACTGAGTCGCCCCTCCTCTCTGACCCCGCCCTGGCCTACCACATGCTGAGGCTCTTGGGGTCCTGAGTGGTCAGGTGACTCTATCTCTGATACCCCCAGATCAGGAGTTGAAAGTAGCCCCACCTCTGGGCCACTGAGACCCTGAAGTCACTTCTCATCAGAGCTTCTGCTAGATGTCCCACCCAGAAATGGGACAGTAATAGTGACCACGAGCTCTACCTTCTGCGAGGACTCCAGGAGACGAGTGGACACTCCCAGCACGCGGCCTGGCAGAAGGTGACAGGGTGGCGACTCGTCTCAGTTGTTCACGTGGTGTCTCAGGCTGGGGAGTGAGCAAAGTCCCAGACCTGCAGAGGGACACCGCGGGGCCTCTGTGATCCATCTGTCCGATGAAGGTGAGGATCTTGCCTGGTCTGCCAGGGCCCTGGAGGAGCGCCAGGGAGCGGAGACAGCCTTGGTCCCTTTGTGGCCGGCACAGCAGAGGAAGGTCTGCGGACACTAGCTTTCTGTCTTTGCCTCTGGGCATTCCCAGGTCACTCTTTAGGTACCACCTGTGCTATTGGACACTTTAATCGTTTTCTTTAAGACAACTTGTTTGTTAAAAAAAAAAAATAATAATAATAATAGGGGCTGGGTTTGTGGCTCAGCGGTAGAGCACTCGCCTAGCACGGGCGGGGCCAGGATTCGATCCTCAGCATCACATAAAAAAATAAATAAATAAAGGCATTGTGTTGTGTCCATCTACACTTAAAAAAATAAATGTTTAAAAAATAATAACAACTTCAAATTAAAGTATTTAAAAAAATATGGCTCATCACTTGCTGGTTATACCAGTTACATATTTTTAATTTTCAAATACTACTCGAAGCAAATCCAAAATTATTCAAATAAAAACCTTGGACCCTGAAACACCCCAAACCGAGGGCTTACACCAGGAGTGGGTCTGGCATAGTTTGTTAAATAGAGATCCTGGCCCGGTGCAGTGGTGCAGGCCTGTAATCCCAGCAGCTCGAGAGGCTGAGGCGGGAGGATCGGGAGTTCAGAGCCAGCCTCAGCAAAAATGAGGCGCTAAGCAACTCAGACCCTGTCTCTAAATAAAATACAAAATAAGGCTGGGGATCCTTGAATTCAAACCCTGGTACCCCCCAACACCTGCCCTAGCCAAAAAAAAGGGGATCCTCATTCACCCTGTCCCTGTGTCCTGCTGTAACTTTTGGTTCAGGGAGGAGCGGGTACTGAGCTGAAGTCACACAGAGGCTTGGCTGCAGGGGTTCTGGGATGCGGAAACCAGACTCTTCACTGTTCCTTTGCTCTGGGGCATGAGCCTGCGGGGGAAGGAGGAGTGGGAGCGCCTTCTGCTTCTGGAAGTCTCCTTCATACTCGGATCCTCACCTGGAAAGCCCTTTCCCCTCCGCTGTACCAGCCAACTCCTCTTCAGCCTTCAGTGCAAACAGTCACTTTCCCCAGGGACCACCTGTGGGACAAGCCTGACTCCCTCCTGGGATGCCCCAGCCCAGGTGGCGGTGATCCACTTGGGAATCTCTCTCTGCACCCAGACCAGGAGGCCCTCAAAGTCAGAGCCAGGCATGATTTATTTCTGCCATCAATGTGCATCCTGGGGCTGGACACCTAGGAGGCCCCAAGCAGTTCTGGTTAATTAGGGGAAGCCGAGGACACCGGAGCCCAGAGCCCTGGGTCAGTCCTGTCTGGGTCCCAAGAGGGACAGGGCCACCATGCTGGCAGCTTGTCCCAGGTGATGAAATAGTTCAGCCAGCCCCCATCACTCTACCAGATACATTTCAGCTGCTAAGAAAGAAGTTCAAGGGCTCACCTGGGTCTGTTGCTTAGCAACAGGAGGCTGTAAATGACATTGCTCCTGACACTTTAACTAACCCCTCCGTGGCAGGCAGAGGATAATAAAGGCAAAGGCAGACAGCAAGACTGAATTAAAAAACAGACCCAGGAATGAGCAGTTGCTAGGGGAAGCGGGATCTTGTGGCAGGCAGATGTGGGCCTGGGCCATGTGGGAGGGATCTCTGAGTCACTTGGTGGCTGCTCTGTTCTTTGGGGCCATGTTCAGGAGTCCTGGGCTCTGTTTACCAGCTGAACCGGTCCATAAGATCAGGTTAATACTTCCAGAGCACTATACCTGTAATTCCAGAAGCTGCCACGAGGAGGCGCCGCAACTCAAGGTCATTCACCTCACTGTAGACTGAACTTCATAGGCTTTCTATAAAACCCTCTGGTGGGGCTGAAATCTAGATGGGAGAGAGGAGGCACTGATGAAGCTCTGCTTTATTGTTACTAATTCGTGTGATCTTCAAAATGACTCCATGTTTAGGGAGGTATTTCCACTTTACAGATGGAGAAACGCAGAGCCATCCATTCAGCAAATACTCACTGAGCCCCTCCTCCAGACCAGGTGCTATTCTAAAGCCTCTGTGCGTACAGCAGCAAACAAGGCAGACACACACCCCTGCCCTCGGGGAGTTGGCATTCAAATCAAGGGAACGGGTAACAAATCTGGTAAAATACAGACACTCCCTGACTTAGATGGTTGCACTTATAATTTCTCAACTTTACAATCGTGTGAAAGTGATGGCATTCCTGGATCCCACCTCTTGGGTCCCCTCCTTCCTCCGGGAGAAGTCTTTTCTGCTGTCCTTTAATAAACTTCTAGTTTCTACTCTGAAAAAAAAAAAAAAAAAGAAAGTGATGGCATTCCTTAGAAACAGTACTTTGAATTTTGATTTTTACCCCCCAGGCTACCCATATGTGGTATGATACTCTCTTTTGATGCCCAACCGGAGGCTGACGTAAGCGTTCTGAGCACGTCTCGGGTTGGCTGGGCGAAGCTGTGCTGTTGGGTCGGTTAGGAGGATTAAATGCGTCTTCAACTTACTGTATTGTCAACTTTCGGTGGGTTTAGGGGGACACTGCCCTGTGGTAAGTCAAGGAGCGTCTGTACGTGGTCCATTAGAAGACGACAAGGGCTAGGGAGAACGATAATGCAGGACAGTTGGCAGGCGACTCATCCGGAGGAAATAAATCGGGTATCCAGGGAGGGGCCTTGGGGAGGGTCATTAGCGCCAGGATCAGGCAGAGACAGAGGTGGAACAGGCCTGGAATAGAGCAGGTCTGTTAGGGAGGCCACTGCGTCCACGGCATGGTCAGGAAGGAGGAGAGCAGAAGGACATGCAGACAGAGCTGGCGGGCAGCTGGCACAGGGCCCCTGGGCCATCGGAAGAACGCTGGGACTGGGAGCCACGGGGATAATGGGTGTTGCATTTACCAAAAAAAATACAGGATACCCGGTGCAGTTTGGATTTCAGATGAATTAAAAAAAATCGTGTAATTTTTTTTTTCATGTGTGTCCTGAGTCTTGCACGGGACATGCTTACAATAAAAGCCATTTGTGTTTATCTGAAACGTGAATTTAGCTGGGCATCTTGCATTCTGTCTGGCACCCCGACAGGGCCGGGTTGTGAGCGGTGACGGGTTGTGACTCACGTGTCAGGGGGATCTCTCTGACCCCCTCGGGAACACAGGATGCAGAGCGTCATGGCGGAGGCCAGGAGCCCAGTGGGGACAGGGTTACAAATGGCCCCGGTGAGAGATGCTGGAGACTTGGA